ACTGTGGGATATTGTGAAGAGAAAGTTGAGAGACGCAAGACCCAACACTCTGGATGAGCTTAAAGCCGCTATCGAAGCATCCTGGGCCTCCATAACCCCTCAGAAGTGCCACAGGCTGATTGCCTCCATGCCACACCGCATTGAAGCAGTCATTCATGCAAAAGGATTCCCGACCAAGTATTGAGTGCATACTTTTTGGTTTTAATTAGTGTTTTGCTACTTTTACCTTTTTTTCTGCTACTTTGCTGAGCTAGCCTTTGGCTACTTTTAGCTTTTAGCTACCATTCTGTTGACTTTAGCTTTTCGCTACTGTTCTAGTACTTTTAGCTGCATTTATTTTTATCTAGTGTTTTGCTTTTTAATCTTTACCTACAGTACTTCTTTTGCTTCTGCTTCTTTGAGCTAGCCTTTGGATACTTTTAGCTTTTAGCTATCATTCTGTTAGCTTTAATTTTTGCTACTGTTCTAGTACTTTTAGCTGCATTTGTTTTTATCTAGTGTTTTGCTTTTTTAATCTTTACCTACAGTACTTCTTTTTTGCTTCTTTTAGACTTTAGCTAAGTGTTTTGCTTGGTATGTTTTTTTTACAGAAAGTTCAGTTTTTCATGTTTGTTAAGTTTGCTCTTTCAGTATTGTATTTGGTGTGTGTGTGTGTGTGTGTATTTATATTACCAATAACGGACACACATACACATGAAGTTACACTCCTTCAGCTGTGGTTCACCACAGGGCGTAGTCACTTCAGCTGAACTAAAGCATGCCACAAATGTCTTTAAAGCTTTATTTCCATTTGCGACCCCATGCATGAAGCAACAAAACACTGCCCTCTTCATCTCTTCCACTTGCACGTCTCCATAAAGACATCTCTTGTCTCTTGCACTGTGATCTAATTTGATGATTTGAATGCTGTTTCATTCATGCGTGAACGTTCATGAAGGACTCTCCAGTTCTGAACAGACAATAGATATGAAAATAGGTCAGTCGTTTAGCTGCATAAACAAACATCTCACAGGATGTGACTGCCATGATGAAACTATCATTTTTATTTTTTACCCTCTATGTTAGAGCGTGAGTTTTCTTTTTCCCCGTTGAGAAGTTGCCCACACATCACGGGTATTGCCATGATAATACTATGAAAAACGCTTCAGAACAGATAGTCAAACAAACTCAGGCCTCGGTGAAAGATACAAACCCACAGGAAGTGTAGGCGGTATTTTAGACTGTGCACACGTCCAGCCAGAGGTGGAAAAATTTAGCTTTAAGAAAATGTCATAGTTTTTGTATAATTTCTGAATATGCACATTTGCAGCTAGAGCATGAAGAGGATATCTGTATCAGCCAGATTATCCAAAGGAAGAAATGTTGGTTAGAGGGATGGGAAAAACTCAGCTGAAGGGACATTTTTATCAGTGACAGTGCACATAGCAGTACGAACGTCGTTCTGTTGAAGCAATAGCATCAAAGTGGACAAATAATGTGTCTAAAAGTCCGTCTACAGCATTTTTCTGAACTATGGAGGAGTTGTTAAGAGTTGATGGAAAATTGCCCTTGAACAGGCTCAGGTGTGTCAGCTGGACTCTCCCATGAGAATTTCTCCCTGATTCTTTAAACAGAAATCACTCGTACCACTGTCTACTGCAGGTAAGACACCAACTGCTCATAACTGCTCTACACGACCACACTTCAACAATCCTTAACTTTGCTTCCAAGTAAAAACCCAACATACCAAAAAGAACAAACATATATATATATATATATATTTTTTTTTTTTTTTAACTTATCTGTAGGCTGGACTGAGCTCACCTGCAGGTCATAAGTGTCCCCTGGACCACCAGTTGA